TAAATTACCCGCCTGTCACTCTTGCGGTGAAGGGGAGCACAATGAGGGGCAAGTAATAATGGATGGCCAGTGGTCGGCCGAGGCCAGTTAGTTCTAGCCGACCGCAGGCCATTCCTCGGCCACCTATGAGATGGCCGCAGCCCTAAGATGGGTGCTGGCTCAGGTATCATATTACAAAGGCAACAAGCTCGAGCGCAGCAACTTGCCGATCTGAACACAGAATAAGGATTCCACATCCTTGTCGCGAATTTCTCGCTCACGGACTTTGCCGCACTGTGACGACTGGCCTTAAAGGGTTGGTTTTAAGCCGTCGCTATTAGTGCGTAAAATCAAGCCACCGCGCAGCTCAGGGTTCATTATAAGGTACGAGCGCGACGCGTCTCATTGCTCTAGGGCTTATAATGAAGGCTTGCCCGTAATGGCTCTTTATGAATGCCCTTGTATTTGCAATTCGATTTTTATCCTCTCATCGAACTCGAATTTCCCCGCTCACAAATAAACCCCGCGTGTAATTTTGACCGTATAGCCGTGGGATATTCCTACGGGAACACTCACGGCGCACGGAATTAACGGAATTATTTTCGCGGCGAACGACTGATATTTGTTTGGACTGCTGGACAATTTTTTACACCAGGCTATGCTATTCCTACACGGGCGGGGCGGGCAGGCGGTGGAGATCACGATCAATTGAACGCGCTCCTCGAAGTCGATGGCCAATTTTCGGGACGAGCATCTGTGTATCCAGGATACGGATCTCGAGGATTTGGATTTTATGAGCGAGATTTTTTTTTCTACTTGACTTTCGGGGGATTTTTTTCTTAAAGTGGAGTTTAAAGATTTTTTTTATGAGAGCCAGCAAGTGAAGAGGCTTGCTTTATTTGCTGAACCGTTGATTGGCGCTGGCTGCCAATATGGCGTCAAATGGACGTGTGGCGGCCACTGGGTGTGTGTGGCGGCCACTGGGTGTGTGGCGGCCACTGGGTGTGTGGCGGCCACTGAGTTTGTGTGGTGGCCACTGGGTGTGTGGCGGCCACTGGGTGGGTGTGTGGCGGCCACTGGGTTTGTGTGGCGGCCACTGGGTGTGTGGCGGCCACTGGGTGTGTGGCGGCCACTGGGTGTGTGGCGGCCACTGGGTGAGTGGCGGCCACTGGGTGTGTATGGCAGCCATCACACCTAGTCACCACACCTAGTCACCACACCTAGTCACCCCACTCTATTGGCGCCCAATAACCGTGTTTGCAAGTTGGCCCCCGCGGGAGGCACTGACCTCTTTTCTTCATGTGTAATTACCGTGACCTTGTCGGTGACCTGTAGTGACCTGTTAAGACAATGCAGCAATTAGGCCTCGCAGGCTTAGGCATGTCGGACAAGCCTAAGAGGATTCAGGATTACAGGATTACCGCTTGTCCTGCATCGGTGGGTCAGGACAACACACTTCTATGCATAATTAACGAACTCTAATTAATGTAGCTAGTATGAAAATAACGTTTAACTGAAACTAAATAGGATATTCTTAGAGATTTTAATTAGAAAGAATTTAATAATTAAATCCCCATCCCATTACACATGTAAACAACTCCCCCAACCCATCACGTAGACAACTCCCCCATCCCATTACACATGTAAACAACTCCCCCATCCCATTACACATGTAAACAACTCCCCCAACNCTGCGTACGAATAACATGGAGCTGCGTACGAATAACATGGAGCTGCGTACGAATAACATGGAGCTGCGTACGAATAACATGGATGTGCGTTTGAATAACGTTGCGGCGTACGAAGAACATGTACTCACGTAACACGTAGCAGCAATAACATCGATATCACTCACAATAATCTTAATAATATCATCAATAATAAACAATTTGATGATCTTCATCGAGTTTATTGAAGATAATCTTTTAATGCAGCTTTATTAAGTAAATTTTAAATCAATAATCCGCCTCATTATTTATACAAGAAGGAAAAACTCGAATTGAGATCGAGCAAAAGACGCGATTAGTTGCGTTTATGAAAGCAATGCACGGAAAAAAATAAAGGGGAAAAAGGGGGAAACTTATATAAACATTAATGATTTGTGATGAGTTTACTGAGCGCATGATGAGTTAATTACTCACTATTGAGGAACGCTAATGATGAGTACATTGCGAACAATCGAGAAGCTTGTTATTTTTAAATGATAGTTCAGGATTAACCGAGGATTAAATCCACGCGCAGTTCGGATTACAATAAAAAATGAACATCGAACGAATGCTATTTTATGACGAAGCTTGAACGTAACGAAACGAACAAATGAAACTGCGGAATGAAACAGAGGAATTAAAAGGGGGAATGAAACGGAGGAATAAAAATGGAAAGCGTTGTGGAAGTGAGCGGGATTTGTGAGCAGCAAACGAGCGCAGGTTGTGGGAAACTGAAGGAAAAATGGCAATTTAATAGAAGGGGGGAGAAACCCATTACACATGTATACAACTCCCCCAACCCATTACACATGTATACAACTCCCCCAACCCATTACACATGTAAACAACTCCCCCAGGCCCCCGGACGCGGTAGTTTACGGACGTTCCGTAATTCCCGTAACAATGCGGGCGCGGATTTACCGCCGTGCCGTATGAGCGGAAAAAATCGCTCGCATCTTGGTACGAATAACATTTATTACGAAGAACATGATTTAGGTGAACGAATAACATGCTTAGACATGTTTCTAGTGTACGAAAAACGTTTTATGCCGTACGAATAACATGAAGCTGCGTACGAACAACAGGGAGCTGCGTACGAATAACATGGAGCTGCGTACGAACAACAGGGAGCTGCGTACGAATAACATGGAGCTGCGTACGAATAACATGAAGCTGCGTACGAAAAACATGGAGCTGCGTACGAACAACAGGGAGCTGCGTACGAATAACATGAAGCTGCGTACGAACAACAGGGAGCTGCGTACGAATAACATGGAGCTGCGTACGAATAACATGAAGCTGCGTACGAAAAACATGGAGCTGCGTACGAATAACATGAAGCTGCGTACGAACAACAGGGAGCTGCGTACGAATAACATGGAGCTGCGTACGAATAACATTTAACTGCGCACGAATAACATGAAGCTGCGTACGAAAAACATGGAGCTGCGTAAGAACAACATGGAGCTGCGTACGAATAACATGGAGCTGCGTACGAATAACATGGAGCTGCGTACGAATAACATTTAACTGCGCACGAATAACATGGAGCTGCGTACGAATAACATGGAGCTGCGTACGAAGAACATGGAGCTGCGTACGAATAACATGGAGCTGCGTACGAATAACATGGAGC